TTTTTCAAATATTTATTTGTATGTATGTATAAAAATATAAAATTTGATTGTGTGTGTTTGTTATATATATATATATAGAGAGAGAGAGAAAAAAATGAGGGGATTTCTTGGCACGGACGCCTCCTCGTATAATATTTTAGTAGTTTTTATTATTATTATTTACACGTAATTTAGCGTGTTAATATTATTACAATTTGGGGAAATATTGCAGTTTGTTACGGAACTATTTATTCGTGATTTGTAACTGTTAGATTATTATGTAATTGTCATGAATAGTTAATCTAATGGTTACAAACACCGATCGTGACGGGATCGTAGAATCTCTTGACAAGGCTTCAAATTGGGGTAGTTGTTTGTAACTTATTAGGGTGTTTTGGTCGTTTCAATTATAATATATAGTAGTATAATTGAATTGGTCATGACTTGGGAAGCAATAATTTGTTCGAGAAGGTAATGTACAATACTACTCGGAGTTGACCTTGGAATTAGTATTCTTAATGATATTATTAATGATACTATGATTTTTCCCATTTTGGAAGTTAACATTGACGGCGTTTAACTATGTTTGAGGTTTTTTAGTTATGCCAAAACATTAAAATAATTTTGGCTACATAATGAAGTCCTTATTATTGGAAACAAAAGCCACACGCATTAAATTGCTGATACAACGAAACAAAGGGTGAAGTTGAATGAGTTTTGACTTCTTTAAGATAATGCCGAATTGCAAAATAGATCACAATCTTTAATTTAATTCAATTTAAGCACATATTATTATTATTATTATTATTATTATTATTATTATTATTATTATTATTATTATTGGATTGCAATATACCCAATGGCACCTTGAAGTGAATAAGTGATACTATTGGGGAAAATGCTAGAATCCCCGTCAGATTTTAGCCTTTAGATATACATGTAAGTTGATTATTTTAGATAAACTATGACTAAAATCCCTCACGGTACCATTCCGTGACAGAACTGTAGTCTTTTCCTCGACTTGTGCACCAAATGTGCAACATGTCTAAGACCACTTCTCTCTCCAAAATCACCTTTCTCTCTAGGAAAAATAAAAATAAAAAAATCTCAGATCTCCGTGCCTCCGTGCCACCTTAATTCGCCGCTCCGGCTTTGTAGTTGGTTGCCAATGAAAGTACCAGCGCTCTGCAGTCTGCCACCTACTTCGTACCTACAAGATCTCGACCGGCCTTTTTGGGTCCGATAGTGCCGAAGATGGGACCCATCTTGGGCTACCTTTTTCTTGGATTTGATTCCATATCCTCGGATTTGTGTAGTCATTAATCGTCAAGAGTGTTTGAGTTCACAAATCCGAGATTCTTGCTTATGTAGTGCGAACTTTCTTCGTCGGTGTCCTGGGGATCGGTTCTTCTTGGTGTAGCGTGTCATCTTCCTAAGTGGCAGGGGAGAGTTTTAGTTTATGTTTGAAGTTTTGTTGTTGTTTGTTTGTCCGTTGGTTTTAGTTTAAGTTTGAAGTTTTTTTGTTGTTTGTTTGGCCGTTGGTTTAACCTTTGTTTGCGGCATTTTGTGTGTTTTCTTTGTCACGTTCGATCTTCTATGTTGTTCTGCCTGATTTTGGGTTGTTGTTTAGTTCTATTTGATACGGAGTCTAGAATATTGTTCTTATTTAGTTTCGTCAGGTATGCGGAGTATAGTTCGCATTGTGTGCGGTTTTGTTTTGTTTCAGGTTTAAGTTTTTAGTCGTGTAAGGTTTGTCTGTTATGTTAGCCATTTTCCTGTTCAGTTTGAGTTTATGAGTAGCTCAAGTTGTGTTGACGTCCGCTGACCTCGACTGTGATATTAGGTAATATATCGATTTTACTATTTTTTTGAGTTTAATATGATTTTATCGTTCGAAAAAATGTGATAATATTGGAGCTGCTTGCTCGTGTAATTATTTATAAATAAATCATTGAATCTCAACTTGTCACCCGATAGAGCTCATATGGTAATTAGATTAACAAATCACTGAAAATAGCTGAAGTCATTGCAATCAACTCCAATTTGGTTATATACTATCGGTCATAGTGTGGACGCATAATAATACTACAGAGTTGTTAAGTTAGGCCAACCTTTTCAACTAAGATTATGTCAATGTTTATAATATCCCGACTGATTTTAATTTCCAGAATTTACAAGACACAAATTATTTAGGCTTAGTTTTGATTTGGGTTAATCATTAAAAA